AAAGCTGGAGGTCTCACATGACGGGAATCAGCATCGAGTTATTCTTGGGTATCCATTAGATTAGTCAACTTTCTCAATCTTTATGAGAATGACCCAGATAACCTGCTCATTGTAAAGGGTAGAAACGCACAAAGTAGGATGGAATGAAGTAACTGCTACTTGTGACAAGTTCATGTTGATAAAAATTTAATGCATTCGTTAAAACTTTATAGTGTACTGTACAAATAGCGTCAGAATTTCCAGGGATCAAAAAGTGAGTTCTGCCTTGAACTGAATTGGATAATCATGAGATGTTGCCTGACACGGTTTCCGAAACGTTGAATGGTCGATTAGATCGAAAAAACTTAGTGTATTGAGGTCTACCGCAGTGCGTTGATGAATTACCCAACAAAGACAAGTCAAAGATACAGCCTGTCTATTTCTGCCTCGTTTCGGTTCTGAGATTGATCGGTTTTGGGTAGCTGGTTGATTGACAACAATTTAGTTTATACATAAATTAACCGTAATTCTCGGAAATTACAAGTCAACAAAAAATAATGAACTACGATAAATTTCGGTATTTAAAAGCACAATTCAATTTTATAAAATACGCAAAATGAAAACAATAATAAATCAATTTTAAAGCAGCGCCTGAAAAACTAGTGAAATTTATTTATTTCGGTCTTTCATTTTTCGACTTTTCTCGCGCACTGTTCTTCATTCACCAAAAAATTCATTAGTTACGACCTTGATTTTTCTCGCTTTGAATTGTAGCTAGACCCTGTCGTTGTGCTTCATTAACCCCTGTGCAATTATAGGCCATTATAATCCTTTACAATCCATCATTTTTGGCAAAGAAATCGAACAATTATAATAGATTATTTTTGAAGATAATCTATTATAATTGAATATTTTTGAAATGAAAATACATTATAATCCACTATAATCGATTATTATCCATTTTATCTAAGAAATTTGCAAAATGTATGCTATGTCGAAAAATCGATTATTTTGTAATTTTATAGATACTGACCATAGAATGACAATATAATCGACTATGATCCAGGGGCGATCGGTGCGGAAAGCAATCTCTAAAAACACAGGTTTGATTCGCTATTGGCAAAACAAGAGTTGCGATAACGAAGGCAATTTTCATCCAAAGCCTGAATTGACGACCGCATTACTTGTTTATCACTTATGGGGCCTAGGAAATTAGACGATAAGCAAATTAGACGGATGCTACAAAATCGAAATTAGACGGAATTTATTTTTTACAGATCTGGCATTTTAGACAAAAGGGAAAGGGCCAACAAAAATTTTTCTTAAGAGTCAAGTTTCACAAATACAAAAACGAAATAAAATGTCAATACCTATTAAAACAATTAGTTTAAATCAACATAAAATGTCAAATCTGAATATTACAGGAGAGTTTTGAATTGAATAAATTATGCATGATTGACTTGTAAAGTTTTTGGCCACCGAAATTGAACTGTTGTCTACAAACAATTTTATTTTTCTAACGCAATTTGTGTGCAAACAAAGTTAATTTCTTTCACTTTCGTCTATTTTCTCACAATTGCAGTTTTGCAAAACCGTCTAATTTTCCTTTTAAGTACCTCCGTCTAATTTGCTTATCGTCTAATTTCTCAACCCCCATCACTTATATAAACATCCTTTAGAAGTTAGCCAATTCTTTGTCATAAAAGTGTATTTGGACTGATATTACGAAAGTTCCCTGACTTTGCACGGGGATAATGAGTATCTAATTTCGTTTCAAACATAACTCGATACTTATGAATACATTCACCGTCAAGGTCAACCAAACAGTGCCAACAGTCGAGGAATTTTTGCTGAACTGTTCAAAACTAGCACCCTTTAAGCAGAGTAAAGAAACTCAAGGAAAGTTGCAAGCTTCAAAAATGTCAATAGTGAGTGTTCAAAATCTTTTTTGTTTGCATGGAAAAACATAGTGTTTCCTTCGGCTTCAGAGGGTAATTTTGTTCAGCTCAGGTTGAGTTCAAAACATGCCAACATGCCGTACAGTCTTAGGAACAAAGAGATGAAGAATAGATTGATGTTGCTTTGACAAAATGATTTTTTTTTCTCAAAACAGAAAGCTTGTCTGTCGAAGAAAGAAATTTTCGAAACTTCAAATTGGATTCCACGATCTTCACTTTTTCGAATGCGCTCCGCAAGACATTCTAGCTGAATCGCCGGAACAGAATGTACGATAAAGTATCTTCTCAAACTTGATGGCTGAGACCACCTGCTTGGGATATCGCACTGCTTAAACACCATCAGCTGGTAGACTCTCTGCGAGCTTTTAGATGGCATCATGGTTGACCACTGGCAACATGTGATTCACTCCGCAAAATCAAAATTGTTACCTTTTTGGTTGCTAACTGATAAACGAACGGAAAGTTTTTTCGCACCTTAAGGCCGCCGAAATCGGAATATTTTCTAAGAAGCGAGGGTGCTTATTGTTCCTCTGTACAACCATAAGGGCTATAGGTAATGAGATCATCGTTTCTTTCGTGAATACAAGTTTGAGTGTAATAGCGGGTTTTCAACACGTTGCTGCATACCATCGATAATTTGGCCTGATAACGGCCATAACTTTTAGAGCACATTCGTTGGTTGTTTTTCTCAGTATCTTCTAGTGTGGTCTTAAATATTTAAAATAGCTAGCATCAGATTTAAATATTAATTCAATTGCGAAAAAACCTAAGAAAACTTAATTTTTCAGATATAAAACTAGATCTGATTTAACCCTTTCTAAAAGCCCAGGTTGACCAAAAATCAATATCTTACAACTTTTCTTTTCAGAATCTTAAAACTTCTTTTAAAATTAGGCTCTAGGATTGTTTCAAGATAGGAACATTTCTAAAAATGTTCTGATAACCATTTCAAAACTTCTCCACTGCGGCAGAGTATATTAACAGAAACTTCTAGGCCAAACTTTTTGAATCGCCACATGAGTTAACTGAAAAACGCTTTAACCTTATAGAGCTAGTTTTTGTGCTGATAACTTGAATTTTTTTGAAGTATACCTGAACACTACATACAACATATTCTGCTCAATTTATACAGCAAAACAAAACAGAATCTGTTTTAAATTCACGAAATATGGTCGAAATATTGTGACTACATTGAACGTATCAAGCCATAATAGTGGGGCTGATCATGCGCTGATTTATGATTTTTTCTAGAAAATCAAGTTCAGTTCACGCGGTTGAATTAACAGAAACTCAATTGCGAACCAATTTTGAACCGATTAAAATATTGGCATTTTTTGTTCTCAGGCTCGGCTCAAATAGAATTCTCAAATGAAACGACTTAGGTGAGAATCGAACCCACCCCGAACTCCCCGGAACGCACTATGTATACGCTGGGCTATATATCTGGTTTTGCTACGCAACTATACCGATTTTATACCATGCTTTAATGCTATGTAGCATTAACATCCTCCACTCCCGAAGGAGCGAGAACCGGAACGAGCAGCCGAGTGTAGTTTCCGGAGACGGTCCCTAGAATTGCGGAGCGGGCGGTGTTGTCTTTGCCGTAGTTTAGCGACATTATGCGTGCTAAAGGGTAGTGGCCCCTAGAGCTAGTGGATTCAACTAACCACAACATATCTCCCGTTTTCAAAGAATATTCGGGAGGGGCATGCCACCTAACTCTTTTATTGAGAGTAGGGACAAACTCACTCAACCATCGCTGCCAAATTGCGTTTGCGTACGACTGTGCACGGGCTTAGCGTTTAGAGTGGGAATAGTTCTCACTCGACCTTAGGCACGGAAACGTTAGACTGTGCTGACCTGAAAGGAAATGATTCGGCGTCAAAGCCTCAAGACTATCTGGGTCGTCAGAAACTGGAGTGAGCGGAGGGGCGTTTAGTGAACCTTCAACTAAGCACATGGTTGTGTTCAAAGTCTCGTCAGTCATTTTTCTTGATGCACAGAAGAAGCTTTTTTTCGGCTTCTACAAAGTTCGTTCCGTTGTCCGACCAAACTGTTGAGGGTGTTCCTCGCCTAGAAATAAAGCGCTCGATAGCCATCACATTTGAACTTGTGTCCATTGATGGAACCAACCCAATGTGAATTGCGCGAGTCGTTAAGCAAGTAAATAGAAAACCCTAGCGTTTCTCGGAAGATCGACAAATGGTTACATGAAATGGTCCAAAAAAATCGATGCCACAGATTTGTCAGGTTCGGCTCAAATAGGATTCTCAAATAAAACGACATAGGTGAGAATCGAACCCACGCCGAACTCCCCGGAACGCACTATGTATACGCTGGGCTATATAGCTGGAATTGCTAAGCAACTATACTGATTTTATACTATACTTTATTTCTATGTAGCATTAACACAACACGTCCGCAGTTATGTGACTTGGTTCGTCAAAGTTGATTTCTTATTGTTTCCAAATTAATTTCGAACCGCTAATCACGTATAGGTAGCAGATTCATCAATTTTTTGAATTTTGGGAATTTTGAGAAAAGTTGCTGCCAGAGAACTTTTTTTATAAGAAATATGTAAAACAGTAAAAAGTTCCAACAAATTTTATAAAAAGTTCTAAGATATGGGCTTTTTCCCAAGAATTGCCCATCCGGGAGTATTCAAAGCGTGATTTTAACATTTCACAATCCTTTTCAGTTCTGAGTATTTGCAATACGATTCCAAACTGTGCACTGGATTGGCGCCTAATTTGGTATCTGTAAGTCTCTGGAATCCAGAAACGATTCTTTAAACATGTCAACATTTTGTTGGACAAACAAAGGAAACACAAGATTAAAGAGAGATCAAAAAAAGCGGTCTTATTGAGAAATCCGCTTTGCTATTGACAAAGTACACAATTTGGCCTTGTGATGAGATCTGAAGTATGTTTTTTTCATATATGAAATAGAACAGTTACTAGGTATGCGACAACTCAACTGATTCTTTGTTTTAGCTCAAACTGACATCTTATCAAAAGAGTCCTATCCGTAATATCTTGCGAGCAGTTGGTTAAAAAATAAATGTAAAAAATTTGAAAATATTCGTTATTTATAAAACTACAAAATGAACGGTTTAATTCACATAAGTGGCTAGATAATCGAACTGTAAAGCTTTATCACAGTTATTGTTACTAAGGTGATGATTAAGGTTTCTATTTTGATGTCGAAAGTAAAAGCTTATTTATAAACTGGTTTTAATATCAAATTGACACAATTGCGAGTCCTTATTGTGCTATTCCATCATTGATTTCGAAAGCCTGACATCTAAAGTTCCTCGCTCCAACTGTTTATTGATGGCTATGGATTTGGTTAGGTAAATCTGAAACATCGAATAATGATTCTAAAATTGCGCACCCACCCTTCTCATCAAACATGGATTTTGTAAGTCTTTTGCAAGTGTTTTTGAATGATAAGAATACTGATATTGATATTTAATTGTTTGTATATTCATATTCACTCACTTCTAGGTCGTTGATTCGGCTTCTCAGGCATTTGATCTCGTTTTCTCTGGCCTCCAGGGCAAAAAATAATTCTGTTGATTTACCCTCTTTGCTGAAACAGAAAAAAAATGAAGAAATTTTTATACTATTCCGAAAATTTCGGTGAAAGAAAACTTCGGTAAATAAAAATTAGGCAAATTTCAGCAGGTATGTTATGGAAATCTTAAATTATTTTTTTTCCACATTTTTTGATGTGAGATGCAGTTTTTAAGACGAAGAAAAATGAGAAGTAGGCCATGAATAGCAGTTTGCTGTGCATTAAATATGGTTGAGGAAAGGAAAAAGTGTTTTGGAAATTTCTGGGAGGCAGGGGCGGATTTGGGGGGCGGACGCCCCCCCACCCCCTCCCTCTCCAGGGATTCGACCCCCTGCCGACCCATAGGGTCCCTCTTTGTACTATTTTGAATATCCATTTTTGGTGGCGAAACCTAAAATTTTTCTAAAGGCGCCTTTGGCGCCAATACATTCTAATTTTGAGGGGGGAGCGCGCGCCGAAAAAACGCGATTTTTTGGTACAAATATTCCAAAAAAACTAAAAACGTCTTTTTTAGACTGTTTTTCAAAGTTTAGCCTGCGGAGCAGAAATTTTCGCCAAAACAGGGTCTTTGTAGTGCTTTGGGAGAGCTCAGAAAATCAATTTGGTAGACCTCATTTTGAAAATCCACCCCCCCCCCCTCTCGAGAAAATCCTAGATTCGCCCCTGCTGGGAGGGTTGAGCAGTGCAAATGCAAATTATCTTTTTGAAAATTAACAATTGTTTATTCACTTAGAAATAACAACACATAAATAAAACCTATTTATAATTTTGATGTCTCTTTTCAGTAGAAGAAAGAGCAAAAATTGACTCATTCCAACCTCGCTGCAAATTTTGTCTGAAATGCTAACAAAAATATTCAGATTTATTTAGTGTGAACTTTGAAAAATTTTCAACAAGAATTTTTCAAGTTGATATCTCACTTGACACCATCGGAAATTCATTTGTAGTGGTGCTTCTTGATTTTCTCGGAACAAATAGACCCATATCCAAAGCTCCCCCTCTTTTGTTGGTCGAAGTAATAGGAAAATTGCCAAGTCTTTTTGCCAAGTCTTTTCTGATATTTCTAGCCTGGTTATGAATCCCACTACTGATAATACTTAAATATGATGCTTAAATCTATATCCGGCAGAGTTTCTTTGAATTATATCTAAAATTGAAATGAAAAGTGTATATCATAGACCTTTACCTCCCTGCCTTTTTGTGAATTTGTTAGAATGATAATTTCATGTGCATATGTGTACTCTTAAGAACAATAGTATTTTTTTCAAATTCAAACAAGACTGCTTGTATCAGGTCGAAGCCCTGAATGTTCAGATTGCCTTTTAAGGTTTTATGGAGCAGTAATAACCTAAAAAAATTAAATGTAATAAAATAAAATGAACTTTTTCTCTCTAAAATTTGAATTTTTTAATAAAAATCATCCCCCCACACGCCATATAAAATACATGACTAAGATTTCGCTCCTAGTAATAAATTAATTAGAGCAAATAAGCTTCCTTCAACCAATTTGGAACGATTTCTGAGACGGATTAAATCTCGCCTACGCATTAATAGCGCGAAATATATCGCGCGTTAATTGTCCCAAATTGGCCAAAATAGCAATATTTAAACCCCCATAACTTTACAAAAAATGATCTCAGGTGAAATATCTTTTCAAATTTGAGCCCAGGACAACAATGTCCTGTTGAGAATTATAAAAAAAATTACGTCAAAAATGGCTAGTTAAAAGTCGAAATTTGTCTGAAGAAAAAAAAACCCATCCCGAGCACAAATATTCCGTTACTTTCGTCTCGAAAGTCGGAAAAAAAGAATGCTTTCTGATAGCATAAAACAAGACTGCTCTCATATCAGGGTAAAATCTTGAATGGTCCAACTGCACGTTGGGGCCAATTTAGAAAATTTGGTTGAAAATTTGACAAACCAATAAAAAAACATTTTTTCCTCAATTTATCCCCCACAAGCTATGTAAGATACATATGGTGCATTTAGCGTCTCTAATTACTTTAAAAAGACTAAATTTCTGGCCTTAATTTCCTTTAGAACGCCTTAAGTTATAAAAATGCATTATTGCGCGTTTTTTGTCCTAAATTGACCAAATTAGCTGTTTTTAAACCCCCTTAACTTTACGAAAAAAGATCACAGGAAAATAATTTTCAGATCTTGTTAACTATTCCCCCCCCCCCCCCTTTGGTACCTTGTAACGAATCTCCCCCAACAAACCCCCCCCCCCCCCCCGATAAAGAACGAATGGATTTGTTAAGCGTATACGAATTTTGTACCTTGTTAACTATTCCCCCCTATTGCAATGGGGTGCGAATAGTTAACAAGATCTTACTTTTTGCAATAAAACTCAGGTCAAAACTACGGCAAAACTACTCAGGTCAAAACTACTACAGGACAAACAAATAAAAATTGCCCGATACAGAACACAAAAACTCAAAACAAGTAGCACAAAAACTCCGACCAATAATGTTTTTAACCTCTTTTCTTAGTTTGAGTCATTTTTAGTGCATGATTTGAACGAGTATCCGAGAACTTTATAAAAAGTTTTAAATGACTACAGTTATAATTACATAATTAACTTTAAAAAAGTTTTTTTTTGCAACTTGGGTACAAAATTAAGTAGCAGTCCAATACAAAACTGTCCAAAAATCATGAATTAAACGAAAAATCAGTCCGACACAAAACAGTCCGGCTTAAGGCCGCAAGTTTAACACGATACAAAAAGTCCGGTTTATTATTAATTGAGACTGTTTTTCGGACTGTTTTGTATAGGACTGTTTTTCATTCATTTTTATTTTTTCCGGACTGTTTTGTAAAAGAATAAGATGTATGGGACTGCAATGTACAGACACTGTGCTTGAAACCGCTAAACTAGGTTACAAAACAAGTTTTCTGTATCTAAAAAATACTTAAACTTTAAACTATTTTCGCATTACTCTCTTGCTACAAATTAGGTTAAAAACAAAAACTTCGAGCCATTTTTTCTCGACACTGAGTAACTTTTAGGAAACATTAAAAAACCATCAGTCTACGACTATAACGGCTGTAGTATGACAAATCACTCGACCCATTCTGATTAATTTTGTGGTTCCTGATTTTGTGTGAAAAAAAATCTGAAACACCCCTGAAGAAAAAATTCCTCCATATTTTTTGTTTTCAACAAAATCTCTGTTAAAAACTAACATAAGAACAAAGATGAACAAAAATAGTCGATTACAAGTAGTGCAGAAACTTTTGATCATGTTCTTTATAAAACTACATGAAAACTTATTTTTTTCAAAATTAGTTTTTGGTGCTTTGTGTGATAAAAGTATCTGAATGAAAGCTTAGAACTATTTGGAACTAGGCATATTTGGAAGTGATAGTACACAAATAAGACCAGAAAAACAACAGGAAAATCATAAAAAAGTTTCAAAACAAAATTTTTTAAATAGATTAATTTTTTGTAGAAGTGTTTTTGAGTTTGCGAAAAAAAATCCCAAGATGGCGATAATCAAGTTTCAATTATTTTAAACTTGAGTAGAAGTTTCATGGCTTGTTTTTTTATAGTTAGCCTGCTCGCCTAATCACATTTTCGCATAATAGCTCGAAGCTGAACTAAAATTCACACTTTAAATCAATTTTTCTCGACAGAGACATATTTTGAAATTTCTTAATAGCATATGTTTCTTAATATAGCATTATTTATGGTACCTGATTTTGCTTAGAAAACAAAAAAAGCTAAGAATGTTTTTTTTTATTTTCAAAGGTCGAAACAAAAGTTTTGAATTTTGTTAGAATGTTTTGTGTGTACTTTTTCAAATGATTAAAAGCGGCCGCTGTGGCAATTTTCTGCGCTACTTGCACAGCAACTAGCCATTTTTATTCAGATAATGTCACTGAAGATAATGTGACAAGTGACTGTGCAGTAGGAGCGAGTAAAACGTACCTCCTGTGATCTCTCTTGGTCTTCTCCACTTGTTTCTTGAGAGTGTCCAGTTGGAGCTGCAGTTGTGAGTCATTCTTCTGTCTCTTCTCCCTCTCCCTCTCCCTCTCCTCACTCATCACTTCCCTCCTTCTCCCCTCCTTCTCCAACTCCTCCTTCACCTTCTGCAGTAAATTAACATACACCAAGTCATCAATTTACTCAATTTGTTTTTTCTCGCCTCAAGTCTAGCTGAAATTCGCGGAAGCAGATATATGCATAAGCCTAGACCTAGATAGCTTCGGCAACTTGGACTTCGCTAATTAGAACTTCGTTTTATGCGTCACAAAGGAAAAGGTCTTTTTTTGGATGGCGAATGGTTTGAATACAAGAGACAATGCCGTTGAAACCAAGCCTACCCCTGGGTGCTGGGTCCACATGTTTATGCAAAGTGGCTCAAAATGACAAAAAAAATGTGTCGTAAAATATTCTTTGTGACAAAACCAGAAAAAAAATACAATTCAAACCTGCACAACTCACCAAAAAGGACAGTTGAACTCTCTGAAGCTCATTCTTTACTTGCATGAGTTCCATCTCCCTCTCGCCCAGCTGTTCTACTTTGGGTTTCCAATTCTGGGCCAGAGAGTGCATCTGTTCTAACTCACAGTTCTTCTGGTCCAGTACCTGCTTCAACACGTCCAATTCTTTCTGGCTCTTGTCTAGTTGATGTTTGTGATCCTCAGTTAGTTTGTCCAGACTGCAAACAGAAACCCAGAAACCTTTGGAACCATTTTTAAATCTTTTTGCCAGTTAACTTTTGGCTGTGATTAATTTACTCAGACCACCAATTTGAATGTTTTTGTTTTTGCTGTGTTTCTTAGTGACTAAGAAATATGAATTTGACTATGCCAAAATAAGTCGATCAACACCGCCCATATGAGCTGATCAAAGCTTGACTGATTTTGACTATTCGTTTTCATACCTCGGAAGTTGATAATTCCTAGGCTTATTCATAAATGATCAAAATATCATAATGAAAGCTCAGTGGTGTCTAAGCGTCAATAAAAATAGCCTGTTAAATTACATGCAGCACTGAGATAACGCTATGGCCACAGTTAAGTAATCTGCAATCGACCGCAGAGTGGAGTGGGACTTTGAAGCATTGATCAGCATTTTAAGGTATTCAAGAAATCACGACTGAAAGCGTCTTAATTCGCTATATATGAGTTTGCGTGAAAAACGTAATTGAATACTAAACTCCTGACCACTGTGTTATCGGAACAACAGTTGAATTATTTCTCATCAATGAATCAGAAACTTTTTTAAATGATGCTTTCACAAGACAGATTTAGTACCGTGCGTTGGTTTGTTCCAGTTCCTTCTTGGTCATGAGCAGGATGTCCCTCTGGTGCTCCTTCTCCCTCCCCTTTGCATCCAGAGTGTCTATGTGCAGGTTCTTCAGCTGGTCCTCCTGCTGCAGACTCACGTAGTCACCCTAAACCACACCAGACAACAATAAACAGGAGCTACTGGATGGAATAGATATACCTTACCAAATCACAGGGGATCTTCATGAGAAGCTAAACCACAGTGCTTCGATATTCATTAAGTAACAGACAGAAAATTACACTTGTTTGATTTTCTGCAATACAGAACAGAAAAGATGAGGTAAACAAAGTAACGGTATTTTTTTGGGAACGATTGTTGACTTTTTGTAGGTTTGATGAATAATTCTAAGGACAGGCCGTCTCTAATAAGCAGTGACAAACACATTAAAATAATTTGAATTAAATTTTAAATATATTGCCATTCAATTGTTGCGACCATTCGAAAAATGGGGAAGAACTTTGTATTCGGGTGTTTTTTCTTTTGTTTTCCCCGCAAAATCAGGTGCCGCAAAAAATCATCGGAGAGAGTTGAGTGATATATCATGATTTTTTTGTTTTTCTTGTCATTTTTCTACAAAATTTGTTTTCCAAATAGCTTATTTTACTATGACTGTCGAATATGTCTAAGCTTTAGTTTTTCGTTCAAATCCTTTTATCACACCACGCAATAAAAAAACTTTGAAAATAATTTTTTTTTAAGTCTATGCTTTTTGCACAGTAAACGGCTATTCTTGTTGAATTTTGTTAAGTTTTTGCCTTGATTATAAAACTTTCAGCAGATGTTTACAATGTTTAGGGTCGTCAGAATAGGGCAATTGGCCTGTTGATTGATTCTCCTAGGTAGGCTGTAATCATTGGATTTCATTGATTTAACTCTATGATTTTGTACAATGTGATTTAATTTTGGAAAATATAAAATGCATAGATGCAAAAAGAACGAAATTTGTGTTCAATAGCCAGTATGACTACAAATGTGTAGAGTGGAACAAGTGAGTTAGGACCGAGTTGGTTAACTCATAGAGTAATTTCGGATAGGGTACACCGTCTGCTCGTCACGCTATCTTATTTTCGGCCGGATAGATTCGTGCAACTTCTTAGTCTAATACCGATCCTAATCTTACTCTTATACTATCTAGTCTCAGGTTGTTTAACTAGTCTCTGCTAGGCTCAATAGATCTAGGGTATACTGGTTTATTGCGGCTGCTGAAGTGCTCGGGAGAGTCCAACTAATTTCTAAGTTAAATTCAAATCTCTCTGGTGCTGAAATTACAAGTAACTTCAGCACTTACAAATAAGTGGGTTGTTAGTTAGATGGATCATGATTGGTTAATATTAAATACTTTACATTGGTAAAATATCTAATTTATCCAATCATAAAATGTAGTTTAGATCAGGTTCCACCCATCCGGGTTTTACAGAGTTTTTTAGAATAGTTCTTCTGCAATTCGAAGGATGGATGATGGACGTTGGTGTTTGGCGAACATCTTATTTCTTCTGTTTCCTTTTTATTAAAGAAGTTCCAGGAAGCTGGAGTTAGAGACATAAGACGTTGTGTCTTCTAGTGACAACGACTAAGTCTTCGCAACAAACTCAAATCTGATTTCAGAATGGTTGGCTATGTCAGGTTTTTCTGTTCTGCGTGGAGATTGTGCGTGGAGGGGATGCCTGGTTACTCGGATCTGTACGTATACTTGAACATCGAGGTGGTCATTGGTCTAGTTCAATGAAGTCCTTTTCTGCGAAGTCAAGTCGTACTCTAAATCCTTTGAGTTGTGATTGTGAGTGGCATATCGATTGTGGTTGGTCATTCTCTCTCGAGTGTAGTGGGGTCGTTTTGTCTTTAGATGTTCGTACTTGGTGTTGTATTCTGATCTATGTATTGCATAATGTAATTTACATTTTATAAAACATTTATTAGTTTAATATTTTTTAATTATGATTTTAGTTAGTTGTTTTCACAAAAGCTTTTTGTTTTAGTTCGGTTATTTTGAAGAGTTACTCACACTTGAGTAGCTCTTATTAAAAATAGAGGTGTGGTCACAAAGCGTGGATGTAGCGCGGTGGGTTAGGCCGGCTATAGAGCATGCTCAGGACGTCCTTCCTGGTGGGTTAGGCCAGGAGTGGGAGTATGATTTCATGCGGTTTTTGTGAGGGGTCCTGTTATGTGACAACGTTTTATGTTGGGTTTGTTGTGGTTTTTCTTATGTCTTGTTGGTTATGTCCTTTTTCCAAAAAGCAAATTGTTCGTGGTATGGGTTTGTCTTTCGACTTTTTTGTGTTTTATTATTTCTTTCTTAGACTTTATAATAGTCTTCAAAAGAATAAATTATCCAGTTTTAAACTGGGTTAATCCGGTTTGGGTACCGTTGGTTTCCTTTTCTTAGTCATGCTGTTATTCTATGATTTGTGGTATTTAGTAAGCTGCGTTGGTTAGTTTTGTTTAGTATATGATTCCTTTCCAACCGGGTTAAAGGAAAGTTTGAAACATGTTATTATATGTTAGAGTTGTTGAGTGTGAAAACTTGAAACTGAAATTCATTATTTTAAACAATTCTTCGTGGGCGAGCTGTGCGAGTGTGGATAGAATTTCTGTGCGAATAAATGAGAATATCAAAAGGTTAGTACTGCATTTGCATTTTATTAATTTACTGCATAGCATTTGGAAATTTACTGCTAGTTATGGGGGAATTTTAAGTTACAAATTTTCATCATAATTAGATTTACTGCTTGTGGGGAAAATTTTAGAAATGAATTTACTGCATTGGTATTAAATTTATAAATTTATAAGTGTAAGAGATTAATAGAAATGATTGAAATCTGTTTGATGAAATTTGCGATTTTTATTTGTCTTTTGTGGTTTTTGTAGGTGATTGTCGGATGAAGGCTAAAAACCTAAAGAAAACATGGATAAAGTATGGTGAGTTTTTTAATATTTTAATTAGTTAGTAATATTTATTTAATTCATACTTATCTGTTAGTCGTCGGGGAAAAAACCGTGGGGGAAGATGTCGTGAATTAGTTCTGAAGTTGTTAGTAGTTTAGCTAAGATGCGGATGATATTTTTAGTCTGAAGCAGTGGCCAAAGCAATTGGAGTGCCTTGATAGTGGTTAGTTCTTCAGTGCCAACTGCAAACTCATAAGGTGTGTTTTGGATTAGATTATATAATTTGTGATTGAATTTAGTGTTGTGGATGAATTCTAAAATTGGGATTTCTATAGGTTGTACAAACTCGTGCGGGATAAGGAAGGGTCGGGATTCTTCGGCGTTGAAGGTCTTGGTGATGGGACAGAAGATGTACATTTGGGTTATGGGGTCATAATTACGAAGAATACCATGGAGGTTAGTGTCTTTAATACAATATGTGAAATTTAGGAAAAATGGTGAAGTGTATTTGGAATTAATGAATTGAAAACGATGGTGTGGTTGCCTAGAGGGTGTGTGTAGGTCAAAGTGATTTTGGATGAAGCGATAATAACTATATGTGTGGGTTTGTTTAGTGCGCAACATAATATCGTGTGAGCAGTGTAAATCTCTTTCGTGTGGTGCAAGGAAATGAAAGGTTAGTGAAAATATTTGGAAGCGTTCTTTAAAACTTTCGTATGCTTGTGTGTCTGTTAGTGCTTCTGAAATAATGTGGTCAAACTTGCGATCGAAGATATTTAGTGTAAATACATATGGTGTTTTAATGAAAAATTTCTCGGTGATTTGTGGATTAGCGAAGCGATCGTCGTCTAAGAATTGATCTTGGTTAGCTCTGATGATGTTGTGATCATAGTATTCGAGTGTATATTCGTTAGCTCTAGGTGCAGTGTGTGTTTTTAGTGATTTTTTATATCCAACGTAAGTAAATTGTCTAGCGGTTAGTGGTGTAGTGAGTCGATATAGCATGTCCGTATTTCGCTCTATATCGATGTGAGTGTTAGATAAAGGTAAGCAAAGAGGGTTAGTAAAATGATAATATGAGGTCCAAGAGAGAGTGGGCATTAAAACGTATTCATCTACAAAGTTGCGTGTGTCGTTAGTGTCGTGGGGGGTGTTTAAGGTGTATTGTGGAAATGAGGGTAAGGTGATGGCTAAAAATTCTTTTGTGTTAGTATGCTTGGGATGGTTGATGTATTCACGGGCTGTTCCTGGTTTTGCTGGGAAAGGATGGTTGGGGAACTTTCTTTTAAAAGTGCGGTAAGCTCTATTAGTGTTGAGTGAAGATTTAGTTGATGTGGATGATGGTGCTAATGATTCAGTATAATTTGAAGAGGGTGTAGGGGTAGGGGGATTGGATGAATTTATAGTGGAGGAGATTTGGTTTATGGTTGGGGTATTAAGGTGGTAGGGTTGTTGTTGGAGGGTAATAAAATTATCTAGCTCTGGGGAGATTCGGGGGGTGTCTGGAGAATGAGATGATTGGTCAGAATGGTATGAGGAGTAGGTTGGGGTAACTTGGGAAGCATAAGAGGGTGTGGGAGTGATGGGGTCAGGGTTATTGGATAATATGGGTTGAAAAGGGGGTTGAGAAAAATTAGAAGAGTTATGAAAATTATTGGATGGGGATGGTTCTGAGTCGGCAAATTCATCGGGGGTTTCAATATTCGGGTTATTGAGTTGTGAGATGGAATATAAAACTGAGATGTGTGAATTAGTGTCGGAATTCATGCCTGATGTTACATTACTAGGTGGAAAATCGGGTGGCGGAAAAGCAAAAAGTGGTATTATTGGGATTGGAGAGGTAAGATTGGTTGGGTGGGAATTTGATCGGTGTAGTGATCCAAGTTGGCGGCTCATCGTGGGCTAAAAAAATGATTATTTTGAGACTGAAAAGCGGTGGTATGGGGTTGTTCAATAATTTGTTCATAAGTATTATCATCTTGTGACTGGTGTGTCATTATATGTTGGATGGGACTTTGTGATGTGGTGAATCGAAAATTTGGATTATGTGTGATGGCTAAATTTCGAAAATTTCGTGGGACTAGGGATAGTGGATGGTTATTTGGTAGGGCTGGTAATTGTGGTGCCGTTGGCGTTATGTCTACATTGTTATGTTCTTCGTCGTATGTATTTTGTCGTGTTGCTATTTTTGTGTTATATTCTTTTATTTGTGCGTCTAAAAGA